TTTATTTTAATGTTTGAATCATCTCATCATGTTTGTGGCTGTGTTCCTGCGATAGTAACCTTTAAGTATATGACAATCTTTACACCTTATGTCTAACTTATGGACGTAGCTTTCAGTACACTTCTATCCCATTCCTGTTTTCCAGGTAAGATATTCTGGGTATGATCTACTGCCTTACAGAATCTTACGAGATTATTAGCATCCAGATGACCAAACAATTTTTCCATTAAACTTAACATACTCTTTGTTTTGCTTATCTTTGATGAAGTGTTTTTACTGAACTAAAAACCCTGCTGGAACAAATCACCCAGTTCTTTATCATCAGGGTCACTGTTCGGAAATTTGAGTCCACAGAATATTCTATACATTTCCATTTCTTTGAACAACCTTACAATTGTCAAATTAAATTGATGTTACCATTTCTCTGACCATAATGGAATTGATGTCACCTTAAAAAGTTATCTTTGTAAGTGTCACTTTGGTATCACCAATGTTACCATTTCTCTGACCATAATGGAATTGATGTCACCTTAAAAAGTTATCTTTGTAAGTGTCACTTTGGTGTTACCAATGTTACCATTTCTCTGACCATAATGGAATTGATGTCACCTTAAAAAGTTATCTTTGTAAGTGTCACTTTGGTATTACCAATGTTACCATTTCTCTGACCATAATGGAATTGATGTCACCTTAAAAAGTTATCTTTGCAAGTGTCACTTTGGTGACAAAAGTTCCGAGTCATCAGGAAACACATTCACGGATTGTGGCAAGTCACTGATGTAAATTACAAACACACTTCCCTGTGGTACACCATTCGTGTATGCATGAGAAAAGGCTGTCTTTCACATCATAAGATGATACTTTATTTAAGTCTTAAATGTAGTAATATGTCAAATTAAAATAAACGCTTGACCATTCCTACATAACTTCATATAATCAGAATATTGATAACTGACCACACGTCAAACCAAACTGGTATTCAGGGAAATCATATGACCAACGATAGGTTTCCTGAACTTTTGCAAATGATAGATGCCAGATTTATTGGTTTTTCAGTTCAGTTTTAATACCTTTCTGAAAAAGCGATACTATTACACAAACCTTTTTTTTTCAGTCTTTTACAATTTTCTCAATATTTCTACATTCTAGGAACATTGTGGTAACTTTTTAACGTATAGTCTTTGCACGTAAACTTATGTAATAACTACATTCACCAATACCATTACGGTGGACTGGCCTGAAATTACCAGAAAGTATTAACAGCACTATTTCCAGCAATTTTCATTAAAAAGGTGTTGTACAAACTTTGTTGAACTGTTTCTCAGCCAGGCATTACAAGCATTTATCAACTCTCTCCACAACCTGTAGATGGCATTATTGTATTTCCAGATATAACACCGGGCTTGATTACAACC